AAATTTGGGCATTGGGTATATGATATGCATTATAATAAAGGTTTTTCCTTCATTGGGAAATACAAAAACCTTTATTATAATCAATTATTCTATGTCTAGCCACTAAATTTGTATGTTCCAATAATCTAGTTGACCCTAATCTACTAGTTTGACCAACCTGTGTAACTAACCTCACTCATAGTCATTACATGGTATTTGGTAAATTATATTATTTTTCTTAATTGGATTTAATGGATCCTTAAGCCGACGCACAGAGTTCGTTGGTTGGTTTGAATGCCGTTCTGATTTCAGACTCATTGAGAATTAGCAGAAGTTAGAATTCATGGGCTGGCCAATGGATCGGGTCACAGTAGCTCGATGGTCTACGAGCTAGCTCGCCTAATAACCATAAGGTCCTGGGTTCGAACCCCACAGTGTGGGTGCGTACTGCTGAAGAGTCCCAAACTAGAACAACGGACACATCTCTCCAGTACTCGCAGTTTTCCAGTGGTTCTCAAACTGATGTCAGCTCATGATCAACTCCTTCATCCAATCAATTCTAGAGAAGGCCTCTGATGTCCCTTCTTTATACAGCAGTACTGCAGAGAGTTTGAATTCTATATTATGTTCGTTATTTTCATTGCTAGTCTTAGTTTTTCTATGGTTCTTCATATATTTTTGAATAAATTTTGGTGGGTAGTCATTTGTTCACTCGTAATTTTCCTTTATTTGTTTGATTTTGTTATTTAAATCTTCTGGTTTACTAGTTAGGCTCTTGGCCCTAAACCTATACTCCTTCACCGACTCCGGATGGGATGAATTAAAACCCAAGTATTTATTAGAGTGTGTCTCGGTTTCCTATAAATGCTGGTATCTAAACACCCACCATCTTGTTTTCGTCTTATTCTACAGTCTAGTCTAGCACAGCCAACTCACTCTGTTCATTTTCTAACTCAGAAGTGAATTGGATTCCATCTACAATTGAGTTTGTGTGTGTGTGTGTGAAAAAACAAATGAGGGAAATGTTCAACTTTCATTACAGTGAATGTGTCATCCATAACATATCTCCACCAAAACCTAGGTAGAGCAGGATTAAACGTTCTAAGTGTGTTTTTTCTTATGTTCCCAACAATCCATAAATATGCCTGCTACTATTACTGGGGATATTGGTGATCCCATCGCCTTCCCCCCATTCGATTGATTATATATGGTTTATTTTGAAATTTGCATACAGTGTGGAGGTTACACACATAACTGAACGCACCTAATATTAGTTCATCAACCGACAGCGACAGCTTAGTCCCACTTTTTTTTGAGTTCAGGATCAATGTTCAATTCATTCTGAACTGCCTCCACAGCTATATAATAATCGGAATACTAGTATACAAAACTGGTCATGTCAAAACTAATCACTTTTTCATCTTTTTTTAATTGAATTTCCTCTAGTTTGTCATCTGTCTCTAATGGGGCATAATATTAATGCTAAATATTTAGGAGAAAAATAATGTGGAGAGAGCTATTTAGGGCCAACAACTAGACAGGTTAACAAACCCATTAATGAATATCTTCCTTCATGACTGAGAAAAAGGCCAAATAAAATCAATAAGAAGTCCTATTTTGGCTCATTTGATTGATAGCGGTCACCAAGTGGACAGTGTCTTCAAAGTTATCTATAGCATTCCATCGAGCCTTTCGAACAGAATTCGAATCCGTCTTTTACAAAATAGCCGGAGCTATGAGAATTAATTTGAGAGAACAATCATAGTGTCTTTGCATGCAACAAAAGAAGTTTGTCCTACCTTTGTCTCTGCCTTGCTTAGCCTAGGTAAATTCTAATTGAAACCATCCCACCCTTTCTTATTTCCCATTTCCTTCATAATTTTATGATATTTATTTAAACTCTGATTATCTGTCCACTTCACCTACCTGTAGTATTGCGTAACTTTAAGATTTCACCTAATTTATTTATGTATTGAATTGTCTACACATACACACACATATTACTACCTTCGTTATTCTTATCGCCACCTGCATGAGGTCAATTACACAGGCCGGTCAAACTAATAGATCAGGGTCAACTAGATTATTGGAACATAGAAATTTAGTGGCTAGACCTAGAATAATTGACCCTGCTGAGTTAGTTAAATAACCTACAGAAAACATAGGTCAGACATTGTATTGCACTGCATTCACTTGCATGTCATCACAAAATAACGTGAGCGGGACAGGGTGAGAGTATTGACAAGTCATATCGTCTACTGGAGAGACAGACAGGTTAATCACAGTCTGAAACTTTGTTCATCGTTTCAACATCACGCACACGTGCAATCGGAATGATGCAACGCCTGCCTATACCGGCGTCATGGAAAGTGGCAACAAACAACAAGGAGAAGTTGGAGAGACAGAAAGAGAGCGAAAAAAAGTGTCACTAAATTGATATGTTTATGAGTGGCAATAATTTATGCTCGAAACCTTGTCATCCAGTTGTTAATACTGCATCATTATCAGTGTGACAATTAAGGTAAACTTATCTAATATGGAGTCACAGTTATAATGAGGTTTGATAAAAAAAGGGGCAACCGATGAAATTTCATCAAATAAGATGGCCTGCGTATGTGTGTCTTCTGTCATGCCTGCCAACTCACCCATGGCTTCGCCTACCCCCTCGACGAGCAATCCAATGCTAACTGATATAGCAACATTATGCTGGGAACAAATTAGGACTGGTTAAACAAAAACATGGTATGAATTCATGTCATGTGCGCCGTTGGCACAGCGGTAAGGACTGCCGCGGACTTCTGTGCAGAAGTCGGTTTATAATTCACATTTAAAATCGAAAATTCAATATACCATTATAGTGGAGAGATACTCAGCACAAGAACCTTGTCAAATAGAGAGATTCAATGCATTAAAACATTTCAAGTTGTCGTCCTTCTACAATTTTTTTCCAACTAGTGACGGATTCGTAAATCACCGAAAATACCCACATTGAGTCATGAAGAAAATAAAACACAGCGAAGAAAATTTTCTTTTCAATGAAGCCACCATCAACTAAGAGGCTGTACATTCGTGTATTCACACTTAGTGTGTGTGAGAAAGTTCCAGAATTATTTCCTGTCAACGGTCAAATTAATAAAATTACAAAGTTTGTTTGTAAGGATGACATTTATTTTCTACGAGTTGATCACGGGTTGATATCAGTTAGAGAAGCATTGAAAACCAGCCACAGGGAGTACTGGACAGCTGTTTCCTCAGCCTAGTTTGCGACTCTTCAGCAGTACGCACTCACACCACGAGGTTCGAACCCAGGACCTTCCGGTTACAAGGCAAACTCATGTACCATTCAGCCACTGGGACTTGATTCAATAGCTCATGAATTCTGACATCTACCGATTACATAGTGAAGTAAAAAAAATTGGTAGTGGTACTATTCTAGAAATATTTCAGGTCAAAGGTCAAATTAAAAATTACAATGTGTAATAATCTGCAAGTTTGGGTAGGTAAGATAATTACTCAACTTCACAAGTGTGAAGAGGGTGTGGAAATGTAGAAAAGGAGCATATGAGAGTGATAATAGTGAATCAATTATTCAAGTAAAAGCAAATTAAAAGTAAAATTGAAAATTAACAAATAAAATTTTTCACAGGGAACGGCCAGTGAAAAGGTTAAGGCCATGATAGAATAAGACACTGGACAAACTTTTTTGCAGAAGGAGTTCGGGGTTGTATTAACGAATTGCCAGCGCCTCCACCATACACAAACGCAGAAATCTGACGCCCTGTGTACCATTTGGCTTCACCTTGTAGATGATCTTGAAAGATGACTCTGGTGGAACTACATGTCCTGAGTTCACCAATTGCTCAAGAATTGAGCTAGTAAACGTCTTACATTGTTGTTTTCTTAACCAGGCCAAATAATGTTCAGAGATGTCTTTGGAAAGTGTGCACATGTGAATTTATAAAAACACACATTGAAGTGGTCCAAAAGTGGCAGTGGTTTATCCTTTACACATCCATTGATCATTTGTCGGCTGTGGCAATGGAATTCCGAGTTCATCGCTGATTCTTACGTGGATTGGATGGTATGATGGCAGCTGTTGAACTCCTTAATTAATCATTTCAATGTCAGTATTCTCGTCACATATGAAGAAAGTATCATCCATGTATCTTTGGTACAATATGGAAACTATCGATAGTAGGTTGTGCTGTTGAACTTGAACTGGACATTAGTGGCGCACCTCAATAGTAGTTCCTTTAAGTAGTGGATCGGAACACCCACGTCTTGATTTCGTGAATCAAACGTAGATTTATCAGCCTTCTCTCACTCTACACAAATATTTCCTTTATCCTGATTGGTAGAAAGTCTACTCCGTGCAGAATTACATCACTTTGTGTTAAACAACTAATTTAGTGTACGTCAGTGGTACAGCGGTAAGGACGCTCGCCGACCATACACATATTTAGTCCGGGTTTCGACCCCCCCCTCCGTCGGCCGACGTACACTTGATATATAATCAATGGTCGCGGCCTGCTGGATTTGGGCTACCCATATCTCATATGCTGAAAATTCTATATACTTGTACCCAAAATACTAGTCACCACTAGCTACATGACGGAGTTTCCTGGAGTGAGTTCTAGTGAGAAATCGTGACCAGTGAGGTCCATACAGATGTCACGTGTGAGGATGGATATCCCTTGCGACGACATTGGTTAGGGTGGCGCTAAATCACGAATGGGTAGAAGTTAAAATTCATGCAGTGGACATTGAATGGGGTCCCAGTGGCTGAATGGTCTACTAGCCAGCTCGTCTTGTAACCGGAAGGTCCTGGGTTCGAACCCCGTAGTGTGGGTGCGTACTGCCAAACTAGGATGAAACAGCTGTCCAGTACTCCCTGTGGCTGGTTTTCAATGCTTCTCTAACTGATGATATCAATCCGTGATCAAACTCGTAAAAACATAACTAACCCCTACAAACCAAACTATAGAACAAACATAAGTAAAATAAAGTTCATCCACACTCACCTCAAACTGAGCTTGCCTACTACGGAAATGCAGCTGATCGTGTAAACTGTTCAAAAGTATTGACATATTACTCAAGCTGATATTGTCAGTTGGCAAACGATCTTGAATAATTTCGCGTCTTAAAGCATTCCATTGTACTTCAATTTTGTGATTGACTGCTTCATTGACCGCTTGCAGTAGACGTTCTCTTTCTTGAAGAAATAATAATTCCCTCTGATCAATAACATTAGGTATCGTCTTCTTATCCTTGTTGTTGTTGTTGTTGTCGCTATGGTCATATCTTCCATAAAATTGACGCCAATCATCCAAGTGTTGATTAAATGCATTTCTCATTTCGTTAATTTGTAAATTAAGCACATCGGATTTCGAGAAGGATTCTTGTCTTAAACTGACAACTTCATAGGCATTAGTTTTTACTATTCTGTGATGGAAATGTGCAGAGAAGAGAAAACAAAAAACGATGCAGTAGAATAAAGAAAACTAAAGCACCAAGTAAATTTTTTTTTTAAGTTTAAGAAATAATCTTCCGTCACTGATACTGTCAAGTGCTCACAGCAACAAACTCTTGATTTTTTTTACTGTAAAGCATCTTTTTTCACCGCTGACTTCAAAATGCAGTGAACTTTGCATATTCCCTATGAATTTAATTGAATAACCATCTTTTATTGATGACGCTAACAGTGCTAATTCATTCATGGAGCATTCTGAAAGCTCATTTCACTTTGACGATAGCACTAGATATATTAATGGCAATAATTTATATACATATATGAAATAGTTCTCAAGCTGTACAAACCGCAAATTTATAGTTATTTTTTTGGTAAAGAAAGGAATATTTCCAAAGATGTATTAATGCAATTGTTAATCTTTTCACAACAGATTACGTAATTTAGAAGGCGTTAATCGGTTAGAAACTAAAATAAAGTTACAAAAGTAGGTTGGATGACGTAATCTAATTGTTAGGGTTCAATGAAAAATGATTGAGAGTCAAGTTAATAATCTGAGTAGAATTCACTTGAAAATGAATGAGAGTCAAGTTAATAATCTGAGTAGAATTCACTTGAAAATGAATGAGAGTTAAGTTAATAAGCTGAGTAGAATTCATTTAAAAATAATGGAAAATGGAGTTAGCGACAGTCGTCATGGGGGTAGAGATTTAATAGAGGGTGGAGGTAGAAAATAATGCAATTAAGAAACAGACAAACAAAGAAGAAAAAGGTAAGACAAAATTAAGTATTTGGTATTAAGATAGATCAGGACCATTGGAGATTTAGTGACTGAACAAACTTCTTTTGTATGCAGAGTTCAGGATTCAATATGTGAATTGCCATTGCTTCTGCAGTTTGCAGAAGTTTAATTCGTACTCTTTTGGCAAGATTCCCACGTATTGTGTAGATAACTGAGAAATTGTTTTGTGGGTGTGCTTGGTGTCCGGAATCGATCAAGTGTTCTAGGATAGAGCTGTGGAGGGGGGATCTTCTTTCTCCTTTATAAAACCATAAAGGTAAGTGTTCGCTGATTCGTTTGGATAGCAAACGCTGGGTACGGCCAACATACCTAGCTCCACATGAGCAGGTGAATTGGTAGATGCACATTGATGAGGTCCCCAGTGGAAGCTTGTCCTTCACGTTCGTGCGAATCATTGGTTTTGTAGAGAAAGTTAGTCTGAGTTTAGCTGCGAAGGTTTTCTTCAGTGAACGGCACAGGCGGTTTCTCAGTATTTCTGCTGAAGAATCTCCGTTGAATTGTAGATTCAAATAGAGAAGTTTCTTGGGAGCAGTAAGCATAGACGGTTTTTGTGTTTTGGACTTCATGGCTTTTGTGATGAAACGTTCCGGGTAACCGTTTTCAAGGAGGATTCTTTTCAGGGTCTTCAGCTCCTCTTCTATAGTTTCCGGACTGCAAATGTTGTGGATTCTGTGAGTCAGTGAGCGGATTAGATTTCGTTTTGTATGTAGAGGCACCCAACTGTGAAAGCTGATGAGTTGTCCATTCCATGTCGGTTTTCTGTGAATGGATCTTTTGAGTGTCCCATCTTGTTCGCGTCTTGTTAGTTGCACATCCAGAAAAGATATTGTTGCGTTGGACTCCTTCTCTAGTGTGAACTGGATTGCTGAAATAGCCCCCATACAGCACAACGACATGTTCGAGTAACAGCAGTTGGAGTTAAACAGCACCGGAGCAAAACCTCAATGAAGAGAATCTTGCAATGAATACAGCTGGAATAATAAAAGCACTGAGTGTATATACAAAGGCAGGGCATACTTACTCATGAACTGCTGTTATCAATTTTTGACATACTTCAGTAATCTGGGTTTTATGTTATCCCTGAAATGTCGACCAACAGCTCAACAGTATACTCTTAAATATATATATTTAATAATGTGAAATATTCCCATATCCCATGAATTAAAAGTCAATCTGAACGAAGAATACTCTTTTCAATAATTTCTCCTCTTCAGGTTCTTACAATTATAAAACAATTATAATATTTGTTGTCGTTACAATAATAATGGCCGGATATGCAGCGGAGAATAACAGATTAGTACTCGTGGGGTGTCAAAATAAATAGTCGTATTTGTGTGTGAGACATACGTGGTCTGGGCTGAAATCGATTACAAAATATTTCAGTAAAATGGGAGACAATGGTGGTGGTGATTAGTCATTATGGATTTATAGTGTGAGGTAGGAAAATTGACAAGTCAGTTCAAGGTTATAAAAGGTGTCAGGTGAGTGAGTGAGTGGCTATTACAAAGTCGTATGTATTAAAGAGGAGATAGATAGTAAGACTGCAATGAGAGGTTCATTCGTCATGAAATAACGAATGTGTGAAATGAAGAAACAGGTGGAGGCATATGTTGAGAAAAGAGGTAATATCACATATCGTGATAATTTATGCCCTTCATGCAAACATTCTCTCAATGCTATCGAATTCTCCATTCATACTATCCGGACTTATTGTTAGTTGATATTATCTCTTTTCTCAATATATGCCTCCACCTGTTTCATTTCACATATTCGTTATTTCATTATGAACCTCCCATTGCAGTGTTACTATCTCCTCCTCTTCAATACATACCACTTTGTACTAGGCACTCACTCACCTGACACTTTGTAAAACCTGAAACTGACTTGTCAATTTTCCTACCCCATAGTCTACAAATCTATTATGACGACTAATCACCACCACCAGAGTCCACTAAGTCAGAACCTAAATCATAATATAGGTAAAGAAACTTCCAACAGAATGCGTCGGTGGCACAGTGGTTAGGACTCTCGCCGACCATACACATGGTCCGGACGGGGTTCGATCCCCTGCTGACGCAAACCCGATATCTATGGTCGGCCTGCAAAACTTGGGCTACCGATATCCATGCTGAAAATGTCATACTTGTACTGAAAATACGGTGTGGCATCAAGCTGTAATCGAAAATAAAAAAAATAAAATGAAGACTTATCAATACGTAAGTTATCAGAATTACTTCTGTGGTGAGAGCTGTCTGCAAGACAAAATTGAAGAGGCAACAATTTAAGTGTCAATGTTTACGTCCCAAATCGAGATCACGAGAAGAAACGACAGCAAAGCTTAACCTTGCAGAACTCACCAACCAATCAGAGGCAGACTTAACGTGTGCAAACACGATTCGCAGATACATGGTTTAACTTCCTAAGAAACCGTTACAAGCAGTACAGAATAAACTTTAGCAAGAGAACCACCACAATCAGAAGATGTTGCTTTTCCATGGACAATAATGTACATAAAAATCTATAAATATTTCTTGATTTTCTCAATAAACGATCTGTTGCCTGGCCTTTGTTGTCTACTCTTGTTACATTACTATCGTCATGATTATAGTCATGAGACCATACACAATGTGAAATGTTATCAACAATGTCGACTGCTCTTCAGTTTAATCAAATTAATCCGAAAACTGGGAGCAATCACCCCTACTAAACCCTAAAATCCGTTAACACAAAAGCAGACTACAGATAAAAAATGTGGCTAATTATAAAATGAATTACTGTGACAGTTGATCCAAACGTTTGTTAACTGATTGTGAGAAGGTAGTCAACTGTTGCATGAGTTCCTTCGCCGTGACTTCATTGAAATTGACTTTTCCAAAATCTAAAATTAGAAATACAATGTACATAAAAGAGGAAAGTGTAAGATATACGTGTACTTTAAATTACTTATTAGAATAAGGCATTCCGAAGACAAATTTTGCGAGATGATAGGAACAAAATTGTTCCTAGCTACACATGCTAAACATTCTCTAGTGAAATGTTCGTTTTCAAGAGCGTGCAAAACAAAATATGCACGAGTGACACATTGATGGATGAGCTTCGTCATATACAACATTCAGTTTTACTGGATAACGGTTATCCAGAAAACGTTATCAATTGTCACAGTAAGGATAGACGACATATAGAAAAGACAGATTCTGTACCAAAGAAAGCTATCTTTATTAACCTACCATTCAAAGCTGATGAAATTGTGCAGTTGACAGCTAGCTCAAAGACTTCGGCCAGCCATCAAACGCACATTCTACGCCGCATCTCTTTCCCTCACATCTAGAACATTTTCGATCCCTATACCTAAGATTAAAGGACGAAATTCTGTAGACCTTACCTCAAACTGTATCTGAAAGTTCACCTGCAGTTGCGGTGACAGCTATATAGGCAGAACCAACAGAATTTTCCAATGTCGCCGGAAAGAACATGTTCCAAAATAGTTATTAATATACATAGTAAATCCCAATGCAATTAATCTGAATAGAAATCCAGCGTTATCCATTGCAAAGCACTTTTTAATGTGTCAGGTCACAAAATCAATATTAATGACTGCTTCATAATTATTTCATCACATAACTTTAATTCAAGGTTGGTTATTAAAGGTGATGGGAACACTTTGGATTAGTCTCATGCACCCTAAACGCAACAGACTTCAACCTTCGCCTACCATGATGGACTATTTGACCTATTTAAATATGATTAATCATCATCAGTTTGTACTTTTATTTGATATAACTGAGTAATTCTCATGCATTTAAATATTCCCATTATTAATATTAGAACAAGACATACCACTGAACAATATTGTTGTTTTCAATTAGATCTTCTTCAGGCTTTACTCTAATTTACATAGATTTATATATACAAAGTTTAAACAATGAAAGGAAGTTTGTGAATCATAAAATATTGGAACATGACATATTTAAAGATTTCAAATCATATAATAATAATGTGGTAAATGTTTTGAACGTCGTTAATAACGATGATTATAATGATAACAAAATAATGTTGAGAAGAATAAGAAGTTCAGCAAAGATATCTTTTCGGCGATTTCATTTTCAAAAGCCGTACAATCGCATTTAAATACAGAATTTTACATGGAGACAATTCTTGTTTGATTCTACATAATTATGACAGCGAATAAAAGGTGATAATGATTTCCAACTAGATATTATTTTACGAGAGGCTTAGAAACAAAATTAAGCAGGATTAGAACGGATATCAAGTGTGTAAAAATGAGCATGGAAACAAAAATTGATATAATAATTTTTCAACTTGAGATGGCAGTTAGGAGTTGAAAAATTATTATATCAATTTTTGTTTCCATGCTCATTTTCTATACACCTGTAATTCTTTGTAACCCTGTATAATTTCTAAGGCTCTTGTAATCTATATTCGCACCTGATTCCCATCTCAAGTTGAAAATTATTATTTCAATTTTGTTTCCATGCTCATTTTTACACACTTGATATCCGTTCTAATCCTGTGTAATTTTGTTTCTAAGCCTCTCGTAAAACCATATCTAGTTGGAAATAATTATCACCTTTTATTCGCCGTCATAATTATGTAGAATCAAACAAGAATTGTCTCCATGTAAAATTCTGTATTTAAATGTGATTGTACAGCTACTTTTGAAAATGAAATCGCCGAAAAAATATCTTTGCTGAACAAAATAATGATAATAAGGTTTATGCATATGGCGATAAGAATAACGAAGGTAATAATATGTGTGTATACGTATATATATATGTGTGTATATGTAGACAATTCAATAAACAAATAAATAAATTAGGTGAAATCTTAAAAGTTACGTAATACTAAGGATAGGTGAAGTGGACAGATATTCAGACTTTAAATAAATATCATAAAAGTAGGAAGTAAATGGAAAACAAGAATGGGTGGGAGGGTTTTGATGAGAATTTACCTAGGCTAAGCAGGGGAGAGACAGGTGGCAGAGCGAACTCCCTTTGATGCATGCAAAGACACTAGGATTGTTCTCTCGAATTAATTCCCGTAGCTTCGGCTGTGTGTAAAAGACAGATTCGAATTCCATTTCAAAGGTTCGATGGACTTCGATAAATAACTTTGAAGTCACACTCACTACTTCTCTCCATTTGGTGGCCGCTATAGTCAATCAAATGAGTCAAAATAGAACTTCTTACATATTTTATTTGGCCTTTCCCAATGAACCATGAAGGAAGATGCTCATTAATACGTTTGTTAAACTGTCTAGTTGTTCGCCCTATACAGCCAGCTTTCTCCTTAGGAGCAACTAAATTTGTAGGTACACATAGAAGTGGCACAGCTAGGTAGCTTGTCTTCCCCCTAAGCAATCATAATTGGTTGGCTAGAAAACGACAAACAAAGGGTGGTGGCAGTATAAATCCGTTTTATTACTATCGATAATCTCACGATGTAAGACTTCACTAGCCACGTCCCCACTAAATTGCAATTTTAGGAAGAGTTGTTTCTTTTTAATTGTTGTCAGTTTCTCCACATTATACCTGGTGTTCATGTGTCTCTTTACAAATCTACGAGGATAAACCATTTGGACCAGCGTATTTGGGATGTATCCTAACTTATGTGCACAGATCCGTCTTGTTCTATTCGTGAGGCATCTGGCCAAATTGATTTTGTATTGGATTGATACAAAACTGAAGAAATGTGTATATTATCCTACAGATGTAAGATTTCTATAGACATCTCTCTTAAGTGAATCATCCTCTCTTCTGCTCAATTGGACACAGAGGAAGTGAAGTCTACCATCAAACTCCCCCCCACTCTTTCTTATTTTCCATTTCCCTTCCTACTTTTATCATATTTAGTTAAATTTTGATTATCTGTCCATCTAACCCTTAGTAAGATTTCACAGCTAGGTAGCCTGTCTTTCACTTATCGCTACGTGCTTAAACCTTATTATCATTCGTTTGCTGTCATTATAATCATCGTTATTATTTGATTCACAAACATACCGTCATTGGTTAAATTGCTTTATATATGGATCTATGTAAATTTGAGTAAAGTCTGAAGAAGATCTAATTGAAAACAGCAATATTGTTCGCTTATATGTCTTGTTGTAAATTATCTTGCATTTTATTTTATTATTATTGTGAATCATGTCAGTTGTAAAGTAATGGTAGAGAAACTACGAAACGATGATATCAACTCACAATAATATTTCTCCTTTGAATGCCTTTATCAAAGGGACTAATTTGTTTAAATTACTTATTAACCAACTTAAATGTTATATTATCATAAAGTTAGTTTTCAAGTATTGGTTTTGTAGGGACTTTGTTTGATTTGATGGAGGATTTCATCATGAGCTGATATCAGTCAGAGAACCATTGGAAAATCAACTGGGAGTACTGGAAAGCTGTTTGTCCTAGATTGGGACTCTTCAGCCGGACGCACCCATCGCGGTTCGAAAGCTGGACATTCTGGTTACCAAGCGAGCTCGTAGAACATTGAGCCACTAGGACCTGATCCAATGGTCAGCCCATGAATGTTAACTTCTGCCAATTCCACGACATTGCGCGACCATTTCTCAATGTCTTCATCGATGAGTTACTACCTCATCTTCAACCTACTGTACCCTACTAAGAGATGAGGCAGTAACTCAGTGGCCCAATGGTCAACGAGCTTGCCTTGTAACCAAAAGGTCATAGGTCTGAACCCCGGGAGGTACGTACTAATGAAGAATCTCAAAATGGGACGAAATAACTGTCCAGTACTCCCAGGTTTTCCAGTGGTTCTCTAATTGATGTCAGCTGATGATGACATCGTCCATCCATTAAGTTAGTGTAAAAATCGAAAAGTCGCTCTTCGTACACTTTAAACAACAGAAAACAGCCTCAATACTCCCTTTGGAAAGAGAAACGAGATTCCTTAACGATGGTAACAAAGGGCTTATCAGGTCATTTCATTGCTTCTATTGGGACAGCGAAAGCACCTGTTGATCAGAGGCTGTAGCAACCTTTTGTGAACGCTTTAGGTGAACCAAGTTTGCCAACCATATAAAAGCGCTAAATTACTTGACATGCATGTTAGAAATTGGAATCTTCTTCTCTGTGCTGATTTCAGAAACATGAATGCCCAGTCTACCTTCCCTATTTTAACCTAATTTCACATTTTCATACGTGCCACTTGAAGATGAAATGATGCTTTCCATGTAAGTGGAGGAGATAACTTCTTTCACGTTTCGCTCACTGAGTAATATGACTAATGCTTGTCGTTGATCGACTTTCTTCTCTATATTCACCTGAAATCGTGTGTTGACCGCCTCTTCCGCCAACTTGTCGGTTTTCGCTTGTAAATCTTCAAATCCTCCTCCGACATGAAAATACATCGATCAATCGTGAAATGCAGATCTTTTTGTGTCTTTCGTCGGTCCAACAAGCATTCCCGTCTTCTCACTCCCTACAATCCAGTGGTTGAACTAGCAAGCCATAGGTGATAGTAGGCAATACACTTCTGTAAACGTGTGAAATATATATCAAGTGCGTGTATGCGATTGGCATAAGTTGATCAACTTGCTTCGACAACAAGTTTGAAACAGCAGTGAAACAAACAGGGAAATCCCCACTGAATCATGATACTCAATACTAAAAATACTGCAGGAAAGTCAAGTAAAACCCGACAACACCCAGTATTCCCGAACAGTCACCAATACAAGTAGGAGTAGTAGTAGTGAATATGATTGTCAATAATGCCAACAGTTTGTGCTCACATAAAACAAATGAAAGTATTGGGGGTATTGTTAATGGGGTATTATTATTATTTTTGTTCCCTTGGGTTCCTAGTGGAACATAGGACTTCAACTGCACGCATCCACTTGCTTCTGCTATCTGCTGTACTTTTCACCTGCATCCATGTTAGTCCATTCTGTTTCAACTCCACTTCACACGATCTCCTCCATGTCACCCTTGGACGTCCCACTCGCCGCTTCCCTTTCGGGTTCCACTCGAGCTATGGCCTGAAGCGCGATGTCACCCAACGGCCTCCTCAGCAAGTGTCCAATCCATCTCCACTTTCTCCTGCATATTTGTTGAGCGATTGTTTCTTGTTTTGTTTGTTCTTTCCGGCCATCTGATATTGAGTACAGAACGAAGACAGCTGTTGATAAAGATCTGCAACAGGCTGTTGGAAGTATTTCTTGTATTCCGCCAAGTTTCTGATCCGTATAGAAGAACTGACTTGACGTTTGTATTGAAAATCCGAATTTTGTTGTTGATGCTGAGCTAAGTAATGAAGATTTCCAGATTGGTTTCGGGTTGATGAATGTGTTTCTCGCCTTCCCGATTCTCGCTCGATTTGACATCCTCGTCCGTTCCTGCTGTAGTTGAGACAATGCTCCCTAGATATGTGAATGAAGCAAGCTCTTTCAAATCCCTCCCGTTGATGGTGATTGGCGCTGGATGTTTCTGCTGCTGTTGTTGTTGTTGGTTGGTTATTTGCATAACCTCCGTCTTGTCTATGTTCACATGGAGTACTGTCTTCTCTGACTGCTTCTTCGACCAGTTTGTTGGTCGGTTTTCGCTAGTAAGTCTTCGATTTTGTGTGACACCAAACATAAATCATCCGCGAAATCCAGGTCTTCTAGGTCCTTCACGTCGGTGGTGCAGGATATCCCTGTCTTCTCGTTTCCCACTGTCTGACGCATAATCCAGTCAATTAGTAATCACATCGCTTATAACTGTAGACGGATGACTGATACAGTGAAGTGACGGAGCAATAATCATAACAATATTAGGCATGGAAGTATAACTATGAGTTTTCTGTAAGAGATATCCTGTGATACACCTGCCTGTGAGTTATTGATCAGCTAGACAGTTCTGTGTCAGTAGTATTCACAAGTGATGGGGGTAAATGTGACTGTACATTTTTAACGCATTACACATCAGGCTGTAATGCACTGGTATTTGAACTCAATTCACTCTACATCTTAAAATTTTATTGCGAAGACGGTAGAACGGGAGGAAATTTGCCATGAACTATAAAAGATAAGGGTTTTTTCTCAACATGGCTTATAATGATAAAGGACGATATAAAGAGATAGTTGCAAATTACCTGTACCCATCGGTGTGTGGTCATCAGATTTACTTGGCGGAGAAAATGACATCCATTGTAACCAACCTACTCCACCATTAGAGACATCGTCATCTAACTCAGATGACAGGAAGTAACGACTGTACAGACAACGTGCTCTCCACGAGAATAAACTCCAAAGATGGCTAATGTTAGGTCTAGGTTCGGAAAGTTCGGATGTACAATTGGCATCAGAGAAAATTGGAAGTATTCCGAGAGATGAATTATCTGCGATTCCATCTGCACAAAAAGGGATACGGGTAAAATAAACAGCAATGATCCATGACACTGAAGTTGAACTAAATCGATAACGACTTGTTCATGATAAATGAAAAAGTGACCTCAACAATCCTACAGTATAAAGGAACATTTCAAACTCAGATAGGATTCTTTATACGCTGGGAATCAAAGTGGCACTTAAACTTCTACCACAACTCACTCAGAGGCGGCAAACTTTTGAGGTTTGAGGACCGCATTGACCGAAACGGACAAAATAATGAAATTTATCAAATGCCGTGTAATGACTACGATCTCAAGTATGTATATACATATCGAGCAAGTAGACAGGGGTCACACTCACGTGGTTATCAAATATGGCAGTATAACTAATTCTAGAGTTGTAGATACCGTTAGGCTGAATAATGAACCGAAAATTCGGCCACTGCTATGCATCCACTTACATGTAACGCCACACACAATCCACTGAAATCTCATGTGGATAGAGATTGATCACAGAGTCTCCGTTAATCGAATCAAAGTCGAACACATAGCAGAATTGATGACAGATTAGTTTTATATATTCATAGGATTTCATTAGAATAAAGTAATTTTATTATTCCCTTGTGGTTCTTAGTGACACTTAAGGCTTCAACAGCACATCCCCATTTCTCTCCTGTTCTCTGCAATTCTATTTAGCTGGTTTCAAGACTTCCCCGCCCCGTCTGCTCTTCTATCTTCCTCACACGATCTCATTTGTCAATGTTACATTCGAAAGTCACACTCGTCTTTTTCAATTCGGGTTTCACTCGAAGGCCTACCTACTGTGCGATGTCATTCAGTCTCATAAGGGTGTGTGTCCAATCCATGTCCATTTTCCTCGGCGTGTCTCACAAGCAATAGGTTTTGGTTGGCTAGCCCCCAAGTACCTTATCTTGGCCATCATTACACCAATGTAAAATGAACTAACAATTACTCCCGTTATTTTCCAGAAATTATGCATTACGAAATCCACTTCGTTTATTTTTGCAAATATTCCTACCATCTCATCGTTGCATTACTTTTTTGGCGGTTAATTATTACCCCCCCCCCTTGACATGTTGATATTGATTAATTATTGTTAACAAACTTATCACCAAAAGATTGGTAAACATCTGTATTGTATTGGAAATTGCATATCAGAGTAGTGCTATGGACGAGGATCAAATTGAAAAGTAAATTTTCTTCGCCAAATCCTCTTTTATTCTGATTGTCTTAATGGGAATTTTCAGGGTATTGATATTAGGAATATTAGGAACACAGCCGAGTTCCGAAGTCGTTATCACGTACAGTTCGCGTACGTCTGCTACACACAGCTGAAGTTGTTGCAATAAGATCGAGCAAACTGGAACTTTGTATCCATAAAAAGAGAACACCTCCAGGCGTTGTTCCTACCGTGGCCCAACTTGGATTGATGATTCTTCTTCTCACCGAGAGTGCTCCTTCCCCTTAACCCTCTTGGTTTCTTTTTTCTTTTGATGCTCATTGTTACAATTATTATTATTATTCGTCATTATTTATGCCCTCCATGCAAACATTCTCCCAATATTATCGAATTCTCCATTAATACTATCCGGACTTATGATTAGTGATATTATCTCTTTTCTCAATATATGCCTCCAACTGTTTCATTTCACACATTCGTTATTTCATGACGAATGAACCTTTCATTGCAGTCTTACTATCTATCTCCTCTTTAATACATACCACTTTGTACTAGCCACTCACTCACATAACACCTTTTATAACCTTGAACTGACTTGTCAGTTTTTCCTACCCCACACTCTACGAATCTATTATGACTAATCACCACCACTATTGTCTCCCATTTTACCGAAATATTTTGTAATCGATTTCAGTCTAGCACGTTCGTCAAACAAAAACTATTCATTTTGTCACCCTATGATAACTAACATGCTACTGTACGTAAAAAATGTATCCGCCACATAACTGGCCATTATTGTGTAACGCCAACAAATATTATATTTTAGCAATGATAGTCTGATGAGAGAAACCATGACTATCAGTAGACTCTACTTTTTCTCTTATGAAATACATTAAAATTTAAAACAGTTAGTTCCCTTTATGAATTTAGACAAAGCGATAAGAAGACGAAATTTGTGTGTCTGAATTGTGTATTGTATATATGTGCCACACATTTCGAACAATCTGATCATACACGGACTTGCCATAGGAATATATATGAAATTAATAAAGAGGTAAGAGGTGAGAAAATAGACTTAGGTCAAGTTGAAAAGACATATTAAAGGTCAAAATAACAATGATCACTAAACCAAATAACAGAGGTAATACTACGTCTACCCTGGCTGGTATGGTATCAAAACAAAATTTACCAAGGAAGGTTTAATGTGATGACGAATTGTTTTTGAACGCATAAAGGTGGTTTAAACTTTCTAATTGCCAGCTAGGGCTTCCAAAAACTTTAGGATACGCCCTTCCCCAAACATGTTTCATGAATAGCTTTAAAAGATCTGTTAACGTCAATTTTATGTCCTGTCTCTATAATATGTTCTCACCGTTAACAGGTTCTGAAGGTTCCATCTGTTTCTAGAGCCATTTAAGAATATGCTCTGAAGCCAAGCCTTACTTGCAGAGATCGATGAGTCCTCCCTATGTATGTGCATGTGTGTCCATACGTACATTCAAATTGGTAAATACACTGGGATGTGACATCACTTTTCGCATGTACAAAGGGCTTAGATAAATATATTGGATTTACATTCTCAATTATTATGATATTAGCTGCATAAAAAGTCTTTTTAACAGCAGCGTTCAATCTTTGTCTGATGCCCCATATAGGGGAGCTTGATATACACGTCTTTCTAAGGGGCGAGTTGGAGAGTGGGTCTTGGTGTTCTGACTACTTTATATCTCTTGATGAACTTGTCTGGATAATTGTTATCAACTTTCTTTCTTCTTCATCAAGTGTGTCTTCAGTGCATATTCGTTGGATTCTACTGAAGAGGCAGCTTACTAAGGCTCTTTTGTAGCGAACAGGACAGAAACTGTAATAATTAAGATACTGTCCTGTCCAGGATGGTTTTCTTTAAACAGATCGTTTTATTGATCCATCAAGTCGTCGAATAAGCGATATATCTAAGAAAGATACACAATTATCTTCCTCTTCTACAGATGTAAGTGATATGCTATTCTGGACTTCATTCATTCGATTTAAAATTGAGGTGGCAGAACAAGATTTATCACTTATGATTACAATATCATCTACATACCTTCTATAAAGCGGCACATTTTCGATTAAATCCTCCGACAAACTCTCAATGTACGAACAATAGATACGTGCTAAAACAATTCGTCATCGCACTAAACTACTTTCTTTGGTAAACTTTGTTTCGATACCATACCAGCCAGGGTAGATGTACTGTTACCTCTGTTATTTGGTGTAGTGATCTTCTTTGTTATTTTCACCTTCAATATGGCGACTTTTTGACTTGACCTAACTTGTCTATTTTCTCACCTCTTAACCCTTTATTAATTGCATATATATATATATATATATTCCTATGACAAGTACGTGGAGTGTAATCAGATTGTTGGAACTGTGTTGAGCAAATACACAATGCACGATTCAGACAGACAAATTACGTCTGCTTATTACTTTGTCTAAATACATTAAACTTATTAACCTATTTCTAATGACTATCAAAACACCACCTTTACAAGCTTTTCATAACATCACTGTGCAAGCACGCGTCTACTGAACACTCACCGATTGGGGAGAACAGCATACTCAAGATTAGCAACAAGGGTAACAAAATAAGAATTGCTGGTAATAGCCAGGGTAGGCATTTATACTCATTATCATTTCGTTGTCTTTCGGCATACGGATCATCTTGCACTGCGAACGACGAAGAAGTCGGCTTATGGGAACTACAAAAACAAACAAAAAAAGAGGAAAAATGAAGCTTAGATTACTACAGAGAGAAAAAACACATACTTTGTCATAGGGGCTGAAATATCCCCACGAAAACGTTTCCCTAAATGATTGTTCACTCGATGGCCTAAGGACTTGCCTGAAAATCATTATTTTCTCAGTAGTAGCAAATAATCTTCAATCAATTCTTCCTCACAGGCCATTTGATGTTGAGTATAGAACCAGCGAAGTGCACAGCTTTTGGTAAAAGTCTACAATAGCTTGTTGGAAATCCTTTTCGTGACGCACACGCCAAGTTTCTGACGCGTATCGAAGGAGTGACTTCACATTTGTGTTGAAAATCTAAATCTTGTTGTTTATGTTGGCTGGCTGAGTGAGTACAGAAGATTTCCAAACTGGTTTCCGACTTATGAAGGTGTACCTTGACTTTCCGATTCTGGCTGGCTGGTTAACTTTGACATCTTCATTCGTGCTGTATCGACTGCCTGTAGTTGAAACGATGCTTCCTAGATAATTGAAAAAGGAGGCTCTGTCAGACTTCCCCCGTTGTTGATGATTGGTGCCGTTTGTTGTTGGTTGGTTGATTATCTTCACCACCTGTAGTCCTATCTTTGCTGCCTCTTCAGCCAGTTTGTTAGTTTTCGCCTGCGTGTAAGTCTTCGAGTTTGTGTGACATTAGGCATATATCGCCTGCGAAATGCATTTCTTCTAGAGTCTTTGTATCGGTGGTCCAACGTATTCTTGTCTTCTCACTTTCAACGCACAGTCTGACGCATAATCCAGTCCACCACAACTAGGAATACCATCGTTGATAATAGGCAGCCAGCCTTGTCTTACTCCTGTATTCACTTCGAAAACTTCACTGAGTTTACCTTTGCTGGATCACCTTGCATGTAGCACTATCATATAGCCAGCTACTTGATGAGGTTGATAAAGACTTGGAGCGAAGAATACGATTGTTTTAAAAAAATATATTTTGTATTTTTAATATATTTCTTGTGCGTTGAATTTTCCGTAGCTTTTTGAAAGCTTTTGTGGTGTACAGTCGCTAGCCTCACGCCCAACCCTCCTTCTTTATCCGGGCTTGGGACCGGCTAGAAAACTATGCGAGATTCCCATGAATTCTAACTTCTACCGATTCATTATTTTAGCGCGACCACTGGCGAATGTCATCGCTGGCAAGTATTTCTCCTCACTCTCGCGACTTGGTGGTGGTGCACTCCACCACTGGTCATGACTTCTTATTAAAACTCGAGGAAACTCCCCTCTCCGGCGTAGCCAGCCACTAACGCGCATCAGATTAATTTACCAAGATTTAGTTTGTAAGCAAATGTATGTATTACCTAACGAAGAATATTCTTCTTTTCAATAAATTGCTCTTCTTCATCAGGTTCTATAGTTAAATATCCATTCATAATAATAATAATAATAATAATAATAATAATGACAGAATGATTGTTATTCACATTGACACAACATTAGTGGCTTTTTAAAAAAGAGTAACATTGAATCACATAGATGAGAATTCCAAAAGGTATTTGTAAAAATAGATTGTTAATAGATTATAGTCCAAAATATATGTGCATATGGGCTGAGTTCAGAAAAGTTCATCAAGAAACATATGACCAGGAAAGCAGAAAAGGACTTTCCTCCATGTGTAAATAAGAAGTCTTTATATATACGGCGGCAACTCAAGAGCGGTATACATTGCGAGACAAATTATGAAGAATTGTCAAAACGACTGTTAAAGAAGAGTTACGTAATAAAACGAAATTACAATTATTAAGTTCAGGTGAATTAAGTGTTGATATAAGAAGGTAGTAACAAAAGTGATGAGTTGTGACAAGCGATTATTAAAGAAGAGTTGCGTAATAACATGAATAGTTTAATGAAAGAGTTGTACTCAGGGTGTACATGGAAACAAAATATGCGGAATTACACAAGGGTTTTAAGTAGAAAAATAAGCATACAAACAAAAGTAATGTCAGATCAACACAGTTGTTACCATGGGAGTAGAAGTGGTTGAATAATTTTCTTTAGTATGCACAGTTCTGATTACTCTAGCTTAATTTGACTTAACTTTTCTTTGTTTGTTTGTTTGATTTGACTTAACTTTTGTTTGTATGCTTATTTTTTTTACTTAAAACCCTTGTGTAATTCCGCATATTTTGTTTCCATGTACACCCTGAGTACAACTCTTTCATTAAACTATTCATGTTATTACGCAACTCTTCTTTAACAATCGTTTGTGACGACTGATCACTTTTCTTACTACCCTCTTATATCAACACTTAATTCACCTGAATTTAATATCTGTAATTTCGTTTTATTACGTAACTCTTCTTTAACAGTCGTTTGTGACAACTCATCACTTTTGTTACTACTCTCTTATATCAAATTATGAAGAAATTAAGAAAATGCATTCACAGAACTTTTGATGATGGTTAACTAGAAGTCTCATTCTCTACTCGAATGGTTGTGATTCCCCCAATGAAAGATGAAGTACAGGGACTGGCCACCTTTTCTTGTATCTACCAAGATATATTGGCCGTTGGTCTAGAAATTTGATTTTTCGTGCTGTGCTCACTTCGGAACACCTACCGGTGTGGCTAAATAAAGGTGTAGTAAGAACCATCAACAATTCGATTAAAAGACCACTTTGTTCAAACCGGCCGCAAAGCCAGCATTGAAGAATCCTTCCCTATCATCTACCGGGTACCAAATAAATTGCCAAAAGCATTCAGGTTACCGATCGAATACTCCAAACAGCAAAGGCTATTGCAATTCGCCTACAACAACCGGTGCTCTGCGCTTACAGAAGAAACAATTCCAACCACTATTAGTGCACTGGCCTAATGTGGAGTCTGTGAATTCATAAATACCTTATTATATCGGCTCTATATCCTATACATATAAATTCCATTAGCCCCTGCAATTAAACTTGCGTTAACTAACCTTTGGTTTTCTTATTTAATAAAGGTAGTTTAGAACAAAACATTTAAGCGAACAATATTGTTTTCAACTAGATCTCATCAGACTTAACTCCAATATATATAACTTTACAAATAAAAATTCGAATATAAACCAATCATGGTGTTTAGTCTATAGGATAATAAGATTGAGCATATAAATTGTGCAATTGGTCATAATAATAATAATAATGATAATACCATCAATAATAAGGATGAAAAAGTGAGGCGATCTGTGATAACAGGAATAACGAAAAACAGCCTAATTAAACAAACAAATGTTCACGTAGACGTAGTATTCGATAAAGGCTAGTAAAAACAAATGAACCGATTAAGTAATGTTAGACTGTAAAGGAAGTAAATATAATACGTTTTAATGAAGAAGTGATAAGATTGAAGGATGATAAGAGAGGAGTTGAGAATATAAGTAAGGAGTGGTGCAGAAGTCATCAGTTGGTTGTCTTAATAGGCCAAGGGAGGGATAATGACCGTACTTCTTCTGAATACACAAGTCTAGGTTGAATAGTTCGAATGCCTATTGCCTCAGTTGTGTGCAGTAGACGAATACGAAGTCTACTGGAAAGATTCCATGGGATATGTTAAATTACCTTGAAAGCTCTCGTCTTCTCCACTACATGACCACTATCAATTAAATGTGACAAAATTGAGCTGCAGATTGTTTTTGTCTGTCCTTTGCCAAACCAACACGATGGGAGATGTTCAGTAACAACACGTTGGCTAAACTGTCTAGTAGTACGCCCAACATAAATGTTACCACAGGTGCAGTTAAATTGATAAATGCACATAGATGTGGCAAAACTATCTCGTTTATCCTTCCAACAGTTTGAAAAATTTGGGCAAAGAACGTCTAATATCAGAAGCACTTCATATCAAATGGAAGTAAAATTGTCGGAATAGAAATGATGGACAAAAACGGAATTTGACCTGGTTGCAACAATCCCCTTCCTCATGAAGTGACAAAATCAACACGGATGTGATAAGCTTTTATAATTTTACACACTTATCAAATCCAACAATCTACACCTGGTCTTGTTTTCTTTACCAATTAACCAACTTCACAACAACATAAAAATAACCCCATGCTGATGACCGATGATTAAGTTCTTATACATAAACTGAGTGGATTTTTTAAATTCTGGTTTAATAATACTCTTCTGATAAAGCTATTAGGAGCAGCATTAAATAACGAAACGTCAGTAAAGACACAATAATACCGTTTCGTTTTTCATTCATTGGGAAATACAAAATACCTTTATTATAGCTTATCCTTCTTCTTTATTAAGTTAAACATAGTTTTTAACTTAAACACTGACGTATACAACGCACGTAACATGCAACCCTAAGAAGCCCTTTTTCTCTCCTCCGTCCTTCACATGATCACTGATCCATTTGAGGTTTATAATCAATATGCATGGAACTTAATATGAACATGGCTCATGACAATTTATTAGCGTACATTCGTTGCCACTCATAATCATTTACTCTGTAGTATTGGTGTACCAGTCACGAAATCTACACCTTCCTACGTGACTGGTTGGCTTAAACTAACTGTTGTGGATTTCATTGACTGATGAAGCTATCTTTTGGTTTGACCACCAACACCACTAGCTCTTTTCCAACCTGATCCATTCTTTGTCAGTCAGGTAACATTGCCCGTCGCCGAAGAAGGCCAGGGCTAGGCGGGCATGTGTATCACATGTTCTAACCATCTCGGTGTAAATTCACAACCTCGTCTATTGATTTCCCCTCCCACCTACACTAGCACTCGACTGATGCCAAACCTCAATATTGCTCACTCTAATATACCACCACTTAACACGGGAGACAGAACGCAAGCACCTGTGACCAAAGACAGCTAGCTGGCCTTGTCATATCTTCCACTCTCAATGGCCATGTCTCACAGCCACTTGTTCATTGTTCTAAACCAAATCGACCGGTGCCTTTCCTGCATATAGGTATCTTGAATGGATGAACAGAGATGACAATATACTTAGCTAGCAGTGGAATCTGAAACACCTACAGATCATTAGTCTACCGGATAACCCTTTGAAGAGAAATCACAGGTATAAATAAGTAAAATAAATATCTCAGAACCTCGTTACTTAAAATAAACTCGCTTCGCAGACCACTTTTATGATAAAAGCCTCTTTGTAATGGCTGTTCAGATGACATGAAGAAACATTCAGCAGCAGACACTTGAATGCATATCGTCATTTTTAACTACCAAACCCCATCGACCCTCTTTTGTATGGAAGTATGTGCATTTGAGTGAACGATTTTTTCAAACTATTGTAGTTACTTTCCCCGTAGGATGGACTGAACAAAAAACAACTGAAAGAAACTACCAAGAGTGCAAAGAGAAACCTAGCAGTCTTTTGTATTGACTAGGAAAATCAATGTGATCGTCATAGAAGTGCAGTATATTATATCAATTGCACTGACCAATAGAAAATGCTTCGCCACATACTTTATACTACTTATTAATATTTCAGTAGCTTATATTTTATGTTTAAAAAATCAACAAAAATACAGAAATCGTGTGAGCATGAATCGAATTAATAACAATAATAATAATAATTATTATTATTATAATACCTTCTAAATCTTAACGAGCTAGGATGCCATGTTGCCTCTGCATTAGAAGACACAGTTGTTGATGAACTGTTGTTCACCTCATTTGATGAAGAAATTAACTTGGTTAACAACCAACGATATACCCGCGGTAGACAGCCGACAATATTCATAAATATGTTCCCAATAGCATATATGAAAGCCATTATGAAAGCCAATATTTGAATAGTAAGATTTCGCAGACTGTTCATTACGTGTACAGCATAGGTGCGCACAACAGAATCACGACGCATTGAACTTGGTTCAGATAAATATTTGGAATGCAGATGTGATTTAATCCAAGTCGGGACATTTTTAGTTCCATTGATGTCGTTGTCGTCGTCTTCTGCATCACTAGACACAAACTGATAGTCTGTGTTTCTCAATTGATAATCCTGTCCCACAGTCTCCCTTTCCAAACCTATATTGTGAAAGGATACAAAAAAGACATCATTTGTTTTATATTGTAGTATAGAAAACTTAAGGAGAATTGTAACCGAACCATACCAATCACACGAGATTCGCTACGTGTTGCAAAAAACAACAACAACTGAAGCAGATGGAAGGCTAACAGAAATTCACATCTCCATCTCCAACGACTGAATAGCACAAACACGTGTTAATACAATAATTTCATACAATGATTCCCTTTTATAAATTTGTAAGGGGGTGGTGCAGTCAAAGATTGACAAGTACCCTCACATGTTACCTCCAACTGTGTATACCAATCCACATGTATCTGCGGGAGCAGAGGAGGGCCTACGCCAGATTCTGCGAACATGTACCAAGGAGCCTCTGGTTAAAAGGACCGAATTATTTAAGCTCTTCAATCGCCACCAAACACCTGATTGACACAGGACAGCACCGAGTAGATGTGTGCTGGAATCATTCAAAGTAATTAACAGATAAAGTACCTCAAGTCTTCTTTCTCAGGTTTGCTGAAGCTATAGCAATAAAACGATTGAAGCCTGACTTATGTGTCCAAAAAGAATCCGTTGTTGGACTTCAATTACCCTGGTGACTCACTTCTTAGTAACTCTTTGTTTTCTAATTTTGTTAACTTATCTTTTCACTCACCCCCTCCCCCTTTATTTTTCGCTTGACTCTCTTAAGAGATTTTGATCTTCTTTTATTTAATTACATAACTATTACAAATTTTCTTGTTACCACCCCAACAACACAACTGTTAATTAATTAATTTCAAGAAACTTCTCTCTAACAAGATATATATATGTGTGTCGTAACACTTTAGACACCTTGTAAATCGCAACGCCTTATTTCACTATGACGCTCTGACACCATGCTTGCCAATGGACAAAGGTTTGTTAAAATTGTACACTTTTTATTTTATTTTATCAAGGAATTCAGGTTGTACGCATCTGATGAGAGCCGACGACATAAAATGGATCAAGATTATTCTGTGCCAATGTTTCTTATTTCTTTGTTCAAATACAATAATTAATTACAACTTTTTATACGATGGATCACTGTTGTGACAACACAGAGATAAGTGCCACAAAACTATCAACAGATGCAACAACAGTACAAACATACAAAAATGACGATGACAGGGATTCGAATAACTACCAACACTCTGATAAACAGTGTTATTATCGCCAAATATATGGTCGTCTAAAAATAGTTCCTCAGCCGACAACTGCAACCTTGTCGTGGTGGTCGGGGGGCTTGAATCCCATAGTGCCCAACACAAGCTAAACTCGCTGGGACTAATGTTCCTACAGGTCGTACCATGTCAGGATGGTTGTTCGGACAGCGGTTAGACTAAAGGCAGCTACCATGGGGTATATAGGCTCCAGAATTCAATAGGATCAAATGGCGTACGAACCTATATTGGCCACCGGCAAGCATGGGAGCGTAGCTCCTGACGCTGCCTTACGGATTAGACTCCAAGTCAAAGGCTCGGGGGGGGAGGTCCCTTGAGAAAACCATCTGCTTCCGTCTGAGCGCCTGGGCAGTATCTCAGCCATCACACAATAAATGAAATGAAGCAACAAACTATCAGTGAGGCTTATCGCGCGCTCGTAACAATGCTTTCAAGCAATAATGATGTATCAAGTAACATATCTCTTTCCAACCTTACTTTTATTTTTACACATAGACTCCTGTATTTTGCCTTTGCTAACCTTGACGTCTTCACCTTCAACAGCCTTTCGCCTTTGTCTGAATTCCCAGATTATATGTGCCTTCTTTTAACCTATGTTGTTTTATTATTATTGTGTAACGCATCTTCTCGGTGCCGTATTGTACCAAGTTTTTCCGCGTTTAAATAAATAATTCGAATTCAGAGCTGTTGATATATAATCATTCAACCTTAACGACACCGTCAAATGTTTCGATAATTGACGGGAAAAAGACATGGGTTTCCAGCTATGTTAAAGTATGCTTTACGGCTTCGAAAACTCAAGGACCTCAACAGCGAAGCCTTAATGACCAGCGTTCAGCATCAAATTTCATTATTAAAATTGCAGAGTGAAAAAGCCTACTACTACGAAAAAGAAAATAAGCTTTGAGGGAACACAGGCAACTCTGAAGCAGATCAAGGCCTTGTGTAAGGGTCACTTCACACCGGTGCACATGGAAATATAGAAAATCAAAACAAGTGATGATTCAGCGAAGAGACTCTTTTCAACAACGAATTCATCATCAAGCTGTACGATTGTAAATATATGTGGTGGGAGCTGTCTGATAAGCCAAAATTGTAAACAACAATTTACATCAATGTTTACGTCCCAAATCGGGGTGGTCACGTGAAGAAATAAAAGTAAAGCCTAACCTTGAGGAATTCAACAAACAATCACAGCAGAATAAACGTGGGCGGATACGATTCGCAGATATATCAACGGGCTGTCTAAGAAACGGCAACAAAGAGATGGCAGAATAACCTTGAGCAAGAAAACAACCAATCAGAAGGCGTTGCTTCTCTGCTCACAATAACGAATAGTACTGTACCTAAAAATCTATAGATATCTCTTGATTTTCTCAATAAACGATCTGTTGCCTTACTCTTGTCTTCTGTCGTTACATATATATATATATGTACATATATGGCTTTTTATAAAGGAATTATATCCGGTGAAATTATATCCAACTTCCATGGTCTTAATCCCTCTATGATAAAGTATGATAATCCCTAATCTACCTACCTATCCCTCGTTTTGTTTATTCAATTTGTATACTCTTCCTTTATTACGGCAATTGTCACTATTATTTATTTATTTTATGATCATAGCTTGATTCCACACCGCATTTTTAGTACAAGTATGGAATTCTCAGCATGTGATATCAGCAGCCCAAATTTTTCAGGCCGACCATTGATATCAGGTGTGCGGGGGCAAGAGATCGAACCCTGGGGCATGTGCGTGGTCGGCGAGAGTCCTAACCGCTGTGTCACCGACGCACTGTCCCCGGTATTTTTAAGTTGTTCCACTGGTCATTCCAAATCAGTTTTGTTTTGCAACGTTGAATTCTATATTATCAAATTTTACACAATGTTATGCAACGTGAAATTTTTATTTTCGTTTGTTTGGTTGGAGGATTTCATCATGAGCTAACATCAGTTAGAGAAACATCCATCCTTTTTACCTACTAATCCTGTAATTGCACACCCCCACCTACCAAGTTCTATACATTCAATGAATTATTCTATATATGACACTAATTGGTTTACCACTTGACATTTAACTGTGATTATGATCACAAACATTTTAATTGCATTTCATACTACTACTATAATAATTTTATGCATTCACACCTTTGACCTAATTTCCTCGCCGGATATAATTTCTTGCAAAACAACCATATATATACGATTGTACAGCTTGATAATAAATTCGTTGTTGAAAAGAGTCTCTTCGCTGAATCATCACTTGTTTTGATTTTCTTCTATATGTTACAATGGGAATTGTCCATGAATATGGAAATATGTAAAAAAAGATACTAGAGATGGAAAATTTCATCCGGAACAATTTGGATTCAAGAAAGATTCACCTTCCACTGAGCAAATTATAACACTACACATCATTAAATAGGACTTAAAATGCCAGTGATTTATTTACATCAATTCCATCAATTAAAAAGAAGAAAAATTTCAACAATGTCAACTGTGAAGTAATTTGACAATTACTTCAACACTATGGAATGCAGTTGCACAAACATCAATAAACCTCATAGGTGCCTGCGTTCTATCTCAGGTGTGGTAAAATAGGGTGAGCAATTTTGAGGTTAGGTATCAATCGAGTGCTAGGTGAGTTGAAGGAGAAATCAATAGACGAGACTGTGAAGTCACTTCGAATGAGAGAGATGGTTAGGACATGTGTTACGTATTCTTGTCCAGCCATCGCCTTCCTCGACGACGGCCAATGTTAGCTGACTGACAAAGAATGGATCAGGTTGGAAAAGAGCTAGTGGTGTGAAGTCTACAACAGTTAGTTTAAGCCAGCGAGTCATGTAGGAAGGTGTAGACTTCCTGACCGGTTGGGTTCTCAGGATGGTAAACACACCAGTGACTGGAGACAATGGTGATATGGCTGGCTCAAAGGGATCGTTGTGAATGGCTGGCGCAGACGCATCCACTCCTTGTGACTTATAATACGCAATGAAACTTTATTGCCCTTCGATATTACTATTCCTTTTGTTTTATAACCCTGTTTACTGCCTCTGTTTTGCGTTTTTTCTATTGATTTGTATGACACATACAGGAAGTGTGTCGACTCGAACTGCTGTACATCGGTGCAAAATTCTCTGTGGTGAAACCAGTCAGTCAGTCAGTGAGACAAACCTCATTCAATAGCTAAGTAATGATCAGGCCACACTGCCAAGTTAATTCACAAAGAGAAAGCTAACCGAAGCCTTCACAAAGTGAAGAAAGATAAAAACATGAGACAACAACTGCCTAACCTATCACCGACGATCTTTCAGACTGTGTAGTTGAATGAGTCGTATGACAGGCCAAGAAGAGCAGGTATGTACAACTTTCTTTTAAAACGATCTTCTCAATCCCTTTGTTTATAGGCAGAGTATGGTTAAAATAAACATACACAAACACACTCTGTAAATGTATCACTGCTATTCAAGAGGATTGAATTGGCTGTTTTGTTTTGTCCAGTGCTCCCAGCTGGTTTTCCAATGGTTCTCTAACTGATGTCAGCTCATAATGATGAAATCCTGTAACCAATCAATCAAAATCCCTAAAAACCAGTACTTGAATATCAATCAGATGCTCACTAGCGACTTGCCCTATTCAGGTAGGTAGTTACCTGGGGTTCTAGTAGGAAGTCGTGACCAGTAGGGTGCAGCAAGTCGGCTGTGAGGACAAATACTCGTCACCGATGACATTGGCTAGCGGTTGCGCTACGTCGGGAATTAGCAGAAGTTTGCATTCATGGACTGGCCATTGGATCGGGTCCCAGTGGCTTAATGATCTACGAGCTAGCACGCTTTGTAACCAGAAGGTTCTGGGTCCGAACCTCGCGGTGTAAGCGCGTTCTGATCAAGAGTCCCAAACTAAGACAACGGAAACAGCTGTCCGGTACTCCCAGCTGGTTTTCCAATGGTTATCTGACTGATGTCAGCTGATGATGAAATCCTGTAACCAAAAACAAAACAAACAAAACTTACCAAACATGTGTTTGGCCAACCACGCTTTTGAACGATCCCTTTCACTATCAGATTGTAATCTACTTTAAAAGACAAAGTGTTAAAAACCAGAAATTGTATGAGAATAATGCTTCTGACGGTAAAAACAAAAAAGAAAAAATAACACATGAAGATATTACAAAATAAAGGCAGGTAAAAAACTAACTCATTGAGAGTAATGGTGTTTCAAAAGTCTGAGAAATTCATTCTGTGTTGTTTTGTGAAATCGGTTATAATGCTAACAATAGTAAAAGGTGGAAATGAGATAAGACACTGCGCTTGTATCTGAAACCTGAAATCAACACCTGGTTAAAGAATATAAAACTGTATAGGTATAAACAGCGGTTTGATCAGAAATTAATTTGTGGATGGTGACTAGCAGTGGAATCCAGGATGCGCATTTCACCGGTCCTATTTAGGACTCGTCATCTGGATGTACCTGCATTTCCCAGTGAGTGATGATGTTCTCACCGAGGCTCGAACCCAGTGCCCTTAGTTTCAAACGCCAAAGTGTTATCCACTAGACCTTTTGGGCCACCTCTTGTGCAACGGGTCATGTTAATTATTTAATTGAATTTGAGATTTTCCCGTAGATTGATCCACACATTAAATTCTAATTATTAAATGCCCAGACATCATTGAAGCATCTGCACAAGAAGCCGATATGTCAACCTGAGACCGAGCACCTCGGTCCAATCAATCGACGGGAGAATCTCAAATTCAATTAAACCGGTTTGATCACTTGAAAATGTACCTTTGCATCCGTATCATGTCTTACTTTCTGCTGTTACACTAGTAAGTAAAAAGTGTTCCATCAAATAGTGTGTTGAAAACTGTTTACTACTTGGGATGGATTATTTTTGAGGAGAACATCAGCGAGATACTAACACAGCGCCTTATATGAATGCGGTAAAAAGAGCATTCCCTGCTGCCGAATTACGCTATGTTGCCAAAACCACGCAACCCTATTTTGCATTCGGGAGTAGAAGACAAAATGCCTAATTTCGCCACTTCTATGTGTGTGTATCTACCAGTTTAAATGCTCCTGTGGAGTGAGCCAGTTACATAGACCGTACAATTAAGCGTGTTTATCGTCCGATTTCCGAACATCACCCTGCATAGTGAATAAGTAAAGGACAAACAAAATCTATTCGCGGCGCTATTCTATCTCATCTTGTGGATACAGAACACAAGATTGGTGTTAATCAGGCTTTCAGGGTCATTTACCGCATACCAACAAATCTAAAGTTCGCCTTAGGAGTTTAACTACTAAACATTGCTGAGGTTGTTGGGATCCACACTGAGAAGCCTACTTTGTGCGTCCAAAAGAAGCTAGTTCAAACATTGTCCTTACCTTGGCCATCTAGATTTGAATGATCCTGAAATTTGTGGAATTTCCCTAATTTTAGTTGATATTCTATTCGCTGTTATATCTTTATTATTATTATAATTTAAGCATCTTTAATGAACTGTAATTGCATTGTGATCTTACTTAACAAATCGATATTATTTAAAAAACACACTGATATTGTTATCGACTACTATTCTAGAATATTCTATGTAGAGGCAGAAGAGGAGATTATCAAAAAGGATATTCTTCTTTGCTCAATTATTTTGTGTTTTATCTACTTTTGTTAGTATTAGATGGGTGGAGGAAATCGGCCACAGGAAGCCTTCGACACTACCTTGGTTTCATGCTAGTTGACAATCACTCAACAGCCAACCAGTCAGTAAGGCGTATCTGCAGCATTCGAGGAACTCATTACCCTTCTGACATTCGAACCTATGCCACCTATTGCTACCTGCTGTCAGCAACGTTACCACTGAGGCAGCTATTCGGGCTCGCGACTCACCTCCTGTAGAACTGACTGTATTGGGTATTATTATTTTTTTGTATTGGGCACTAGTCAGTAACTACTGTAACGTGTGTATGCCCCACCCTATATCTTTGGTGCAAACCGAATCCCTCTTAGTCGAGTTTGCAGTGTGGCGCCAGTATGCCACTCTAGGTGGCTCACCATCACAGTGTACTGTGAATTGTTAGTATACGATGGTTGGAGGAAATCAACCACACGAAGCCTTCGACACCACCTAGATTTCGTGCTAGTTGGCACTCACTCAACAGCCAGTCACACACAGAGCAAGGCGTATATCTGCAACCTTGAAAGAACTTATTTCCCTCCTTCTGTGATTCAAACCCATGTGTCATCCAGTGCTTTAGTGGTGAGAGCTGACTGCTAGCCAAAAATTGGTAGACAGTAATTTACGTCAATGTTTACGTCCCCAATATTGGTCATGAGAAAAGAACAAGAACAAAGACTGCTGACTCAACAACCAATCACAGCAGACTTTGTTTGCGTAGGCGGATACAATTTGCAGATAGATAATCTGAACTTCAAGAAATGGCCATAAAAAAGAGATGAAAGATTAACATTCAGCGAGAAACCACCAATCCGACGACTGTGTTTCTCTGTTTACAATAATCTATAATAATGTACATGAAAATCTATAAATATGTGTTGATTTCCTAAATAAACGATCTGTTGCCTGGCCCTTGTCTTCTGCCGTTGTTACACTTTTACTAGACTCAGATGACTAGCTTCTAGGTAGGGACATTCAGTCAGTCAGTTATTTATTCAAATCAAAAAATAGACAATTTAGGATAAAAATTTCATGATTAATCATCATCATCGTCATTAGTTAAGTAACATTCTACTTCAGAAACCGAATGATGCTAGTTATCTTATCTTACAAGCTGTAATGTAAGTTAGACGTAAGTGTAGGTGTACTTATTTATTTATTATTTATTTTGGTTACAGCTTGATGCCACACCGCATTTTCAGTACAAGTATGGAATTTTCAGCATGGATATCAATAGACCAAAATTTTGCAGGCCGACCATAGATATCGGGTGTGCGTCGGCAGGGTATCGAACCTCGGACCATGTGCATGGTCGGCGAGAATCCTAACCGCTGTGCCACCGACGCACACTTTCCAAAATAAAGAAAAAAGTAAACTTCCATTCACCACTTTTGATTTAGAGCATACGCGCATACACACACTACTCAAAAAAGAGGGATATAAATGTGAATAAATGAATGAGTAATTCTACATCTTGAGAAATATTTTTTTTTAACGACAGAAAAAGAGACAGAATAGGTAGGTAGGTGATAAAATCATAACTGTCTATACATATATATATATATATATATATTGTGCCACATTTGTTTGTAATTATCTTCATTCACAAACACGTTCATCTATTGGCCTACATTTATTTCTATTAGAATATCATATAATTAATAAATCATAATTCTTATCAAACAAATAAACAACCAAACTATCGAAATTAAACAATGTAAACACATCTAAAGCCATTTATAGACTAGATAAATTTTAAATTACCAATGACATAAAAGTTAGTAAAGTAATTCATAATAGAAGAAGAAGGAGAGAGAACAAGAAAGAACACGAAACTGACCGATTGAAACAAATTACAATTGTATTGATTAATCTATCTACACACACACACACACAAACACACATATAGATGATAACAACGGTGATGAATTGCACTATGAGTAGAACATACGGTTGGCTGCAACAACCCACCTCCACTTTGTTCTATTTTTCTCTGCTCTCCTTGTTCAGCTGGCTAGCTCTCCTCCTCCTCACACCATCTCCTCCATGTCACCACCCTTGCATCGACCACTCACACGCGTCTCTTCCCCCATTGGAATTCCACTCTAATGATGGCCTGCACTGCGTCCGATGTCATCCGACGGCCTCCTCAACCTATGCCCGATCTACAACAGTTAGTCTAGGCCACGTAGGAAGGTGTAGACTTCCTGACTGGTTGGAGTCTTCGGGACGGTAAAAATCAATGGTTGGAAACAATTGGTGATATGGCTCAAAATCGTTCTCAATGGCTGGCGCAGATGCATCCACTCCTTGTGACTTATGATTTCCAATGAAACTATATCGTTCTTCGTTATTACTATTCCTTTGTCTCACACCTCTGTTTACTCTCTGTAATATGTGTTTCTCCTACTTTCTTCCCTTGCTTTGTGTGCTACATGGGGGGAGTGTGGCGAATTGAACTTCCGCACATATGTGCAAAGTTCTATGTCGAAAACAGACAGACAGCCATGCCCGATCCATCCATCTCTGTTTTCTAGTGTATATTTGTTGAGCAATAGGCTTTTTGTTGGTTTGTTCCAACAGTTTCTTACTACTAATTCTTTCTGGCCATCCGATCTTCAGTATGGAGCCAGAGAAGTGGACAGTTGTTGATATAGGTCTGCAGCTGACTGTTGTTTCTGACCCGTATAAAAGAACTGCCTGACTTTCCATTTGAGTTGGAAGGAGATTCGAATCTTGTTCCTTACGTTGAGTGCAGAAAATCTCCAAACCGGTTTCAGGTTGATGAGGGTGTGCTGCCTTTCCTTTCCGATTCTGGCTGGCCAGCCTTGACATCTTCATCCGTTCTGCCAGCTGTCGTTGAAACCGTGCTTCCTAGGCAGATACATATAAGTGAAGGAAGTAACCTCTGTCAAATCTCACCAACACCATCGATGCTGAGTGATTGGTGCTGATTGTTGTTGTAGGTGTTGTTGTGGTACGTTGGTTATCTTCATCACCTAACTCTGTCTTCTCAATATTCACCTGGAGTCCTGTCTTCGTTGCCTGCCAGCCTCTTCTGTCAGTTTTTTCTGCTTTTCACCTGTAATTCTTCGAGTTTGTGTGACATCAGACATGTGCGTCGGTGGCATAGTGGTTAGGACTCTCGCCGACCATGCACATGGTCCGAGGTTCGAGCCCCTGCCGGCGCACACCCGATATCTATGGTCGGCCCGCAAAATTTGGGCTACCGATATCCATGCTGAAAATGCCATACTTGTACTGAAAATACGCTGTGGCATCAAGCTGTAACCAAAATAAAAAAAATAATAATAATAAATATCATTTGCGAAATCCATACCTTCTGGAGTCTTCTTATGGGTGAGATTACACGAAATAGATATTATCAACAAAAAATACACATTAAGTGGGCCAAGTTAAACTTTCAGCACCACTAACTACCAATGGAGTGCAACCGTACCAGTGACTTTGAAACGCTCACTGAGCAAGTCAGTGAAACCTGGCAAATAATGTTATCATTACCAATAAAATATGCTCATCAAAGTGTTATGCTATCAAATGGGATTTCTGGCTAGTTTCGCCTTAGGTTTGGGAAAGATTAAGTTATTCTTTAAGCCAGGGACTAGTTAGGGTTAGGTTAACCTAATAAGGGAGACATTAGGGTTGGTTCGAATTAGATTACAGTTAGTTTAGGGATAATTTCACGTTAGGGTTAGGTTCAGGAAAGATTAGGGTTATTGTTAGCGTTAGAAGACCTCAATAATTACACGCATAGAATTTGGTTAAATTACTCTGTTGATATAAGAATAAAACTTTGCACTGTGGCGGTATATTATAATCCCAATGTGGGTTAAAATTTATTCTGATAAAGTCTCACAGTGTTGTTATACAGTAATATTTACTGATGACCACGTTTCGAGCACAATTTATTGCCCAGTAAATATTACTGTATCACACTATGAGAATTTATCAAAATAAATTTCACCAGAGTTTAGATAAATATCATAAAAGTAAGAAGGAAATGGAAAACAAGAAGGGGTGGGAGGGTTCTAATTAGAATTTACCTAGGCTAAGCAAGGCAGAGACAAAAGGGGAGCAAACTCCTTTTGTTGCATGCAAAGACACTAGGATTGTTCTCTCGAATTAATTCCCATAGCTTCGGCTGTGTGTAAAAGGTGGATTATTATTGTGTTTTTACTGACGTTTCGCTGTTTAATGCTGCTGCTAATAGCTTTATCAAAGTAGTATTATTCAACCAGAATATACAAAATCCACTCAGCTTACAATAACAAATCAATCATCGTTCATCAGCATGGGGTTATTTTTATGTTGTTGTGAAGTTGGTCAATTGGTAAAGATAACAAAACCAGGTGTAGATTGTAGGATTTGATAAGTGTGTAAAATTATAAAAGTAGCGTGAGTTTTCATAATGAAATTGCTTATCACATTCGTGTTGATTTTTCCATTCCATGAGGGAGGGAGGTGTTGTAACCAGGTTAGATTCTGTCTTAATTCGTCGTTCCTATTCAGACAATTTGTGTTACATTTGATGTGAAGTGGTTCTGATATCAGACATTCTTTTTGATTTCTGAAACTTTTCTGCACTATTTCAATATTGTCAAACTCAACTTTGTGACTTGATTCTACAATGTGTAGGCACCTATGACTGATGATTTTTCAAGCTTTTCTAGTTCACTAACTGGATTTCTCGGTGGTCGAATAGATGCTCTACGATGTTCATTTCTTCCGATTTCGATTTCTGTCTCACGAGATTTGTCCGATGGATATCGCATCACATTCCAAGCATTTTATTTTATAGACACAATTAGATAATGTTTAGGGATTTGGTCTTTCATATGGACAACGTTGCTTCGCAGTGTATCTGAAGTTTTGAAGAAAACTCTGGTGTCCTGCTTATTGATTACTTTTCTGATATAGTCTGACATCTCTGATCTATATGGAATGACAACTGTTGAGGCCCATATCTTCAGAATAGGTTTTCGACCATATTTAATGTCAGTGTTGATTTTGTTAGTGAATTTTTAGTAATTTTCGATATTTCTTCTTTTTCTTTCTCATCCGTTATCATCAGAGAGTGCTCGTCTAAGAAAACTTGAAACAACTGACACTGCGCTGATGGGGTCTGATGACCTGAAGTCTACATATTTGTGGGAGTAGGTTTTCTTCCTGAATATAGATATACTAAAATGTCCGTTTTTCCTCCTCCTAACTAGGCAGTCTAGAAATGTTAGTTCACAGACGTCTGATTCTGTCTCGTTCCGGAGTAAACTGGATTCGTTGTTTTGTATTTCATTCATTGGGAAATACAAAAAAAGCTTTCATTATAATGAATATCACATATATCCAATGCCCAAATTTTTTCACTGTTAAAGGTGAACTTGGTTTGGACATTTATATATATATAAAAGTACAGTCTCAAGAAGATCTAATGGAAAAAAGCAATACTGTTCGCTTACATGTCTTGTTCTAATATTATTAATAATGGGAATATTTGAAGATGATTTAAGACAACAGTCCGGAAAAATGGAGTTGTGAGACTAACTGAACTATAACAGTTTTGTTAGTCATTTTAGAACCTGCTATAATTCCTGCTGTAATTATTAAACAGTAAATTCCGACAAATAATAGACTGAAGTTTATGTAGTCAGGAGGATTTTAGAGAAATAAGATAGATTGTCTTTTTCACACTGCACAACGTAGACAAGATTATTTCAATTAGATAGCTGGTTGGAGGCAATCGGCCACAGGAAGCCTTGGGACACAACCGAGGTTTCGTGCTAGCTAGTTGGTAATCACTCAACAGCCAGTTAGTCAGTCAATAATTAAGGCGTATCTGCAACATTCGAGGAACTCATTACCCTTGTGATATTCGAACTCATGTCACCCATAGCTACCTACTGTCAGCGACGTTACCACTGAGCCAGCTGTTCGGGCTCGCAACTCACATCCTGTAGAACTGACTGTGTTGGATATCATCATTTTTTTGTATTGGGCACTAGTCAGTAACTACTGTAACGTGTGTATGCCTAGCCCTATATCCTTGGTGCAAACCGAATCCCTATGAGTCGAGTTTGCAGTGCGGTGCCAGTATGCCCCACTAGGTGGCTCGTCATCACAGTGTACTGTGAATTGTTAGTATAGGATGGTTGGAGGCAATCAATCAGCCGCAGGAAGCATACTTGACTGATAAAATTCAGTCTGCCCCAAAGATACGACTAGACATATTCCACTAGTTACCGACTAGTGTCCAATCAAAAAAGATTAATTTCTAACCTGGAATGCGTAGTCGTAGCAGCAGCAGCAGCAGTAGTCAGATTCACTTGTGATGTATCGCTTCTCACCAACTTTTTCCATAAATACTGAATACGCTTGATCCAAGAACCATTATAAGCTGTTTCTGACCCATATCCACTACTACTATAGTATGTTTGATTTGTACCCTGCAAGGGTAAAACCGTCTGTTCCAAAGTTGCCGGCGATGCATACGTGTAGACATAGGTGGAATTCGCCGACAAAATCTCTAAACCACCACCACCATGACTGCTATCTGTGTGAGATTTTGTTTGTTCCATAGGAAATACCCGTTCAGATCTGCGAGATCTGCTTGTTCTCGTCGATGGAGTTAGTGATGCGTTTATTCGATCACCTTCGATTGTTCTATCGTTCATATCAGTTGTATTGTTAGTATTTGCTTGGGATTCATAAGATGCCTAAAATCAAGAGGATGACAGAAAGGCAAAAAAAAGGATAGAATATACTGAATGAATATTAGCATTTTTAATTCTATGACAAATTTCAAGGGAAGTAATAAAGCTGGTTTGGGTACATCTTTCACCTAGGAAACACTGACGCTGTGTTTGGAAATTCGGGAATTGATAGGACCCAGCATAAAATAGTATTGTGGTGAGTGCTACTTATAATCCGATATAAGTAGTATATCAGAAACGAAGTAACAATATGTTTGGCACACTGGAAAGAGCAATCAAAGAAGAGAACCAGGAGAAGAATGTTGCCACATGATGCAGAATCCAAGAAGCTATCGAATGAGACGATATTCGACTAATTCGTCAAGGATGTGGTAAATGATGTGCAAATGGCCGGTTGAGAATATGGTATACCAAATTTAGCTATGTACCATACGTTTCACCAAATAAACATTCCTTTCAGCCTCCTCAGTCTTGTCTTCTTTACAGTATATCATCCTTTTTCACGAGTCGTGTGCCTTATCTTGCGATGAAGGTACTACTGTGTGGATCTATCATTTCTCACGCATGCTGTGATTTAGTGTCTCACCTTGGTCTTTGTCGGATCATCAACCAATGAGAATAGCCATTTCCAGCCAATAAGAACAATCCATGCTCACGCTTTGTGAGCCGACTTTATTATGGTTAAGAAAATGTACAAATACAACGTGTTGTTTCTTAAACTACACAGTACAATATCTTACAGTCACACACCAGCCAGCCTTTGTCCCTTGATATTTGCGTGGCTCAGTGAATCAGAAGGTACAACGGACAAATAAAAACGTATTAGCATACCAGTCGAGTTCATTACCGCTATAGTAATTAACAGGCGCAGTCATAACAAAGTAGCGAACGGATTTATTCGGATCATTTCAGTTATAACATGAGTCCAGTGAATTTTCCTAACAAAAATTTCCATTGCAGTTTCACACTCACATCAAAGCGTTGGAAATCAGATCTAGTTGCAGAAAAGTCTACTGCTGTTGTAATCTATTCTATAAAGTGCATCCGGTATGGGATTTTGGCGAGCACTATACTATAACAGTCTCATAAATATCTCATCAAGGTTTGTGGGCGGTTTCCTTCCTTAAAGGAAATAATAGTCTGCTAACGGCTTTTTTTGAAGGTGAGTGGAACGCGCTCCAGGAGACTATTTAAAATACTATGCTGCCCTACCCCCATGTAGATGCTTCGGCTCACTATTTGGTAGGAAATAAAAGACGAATTCTCTTTATCGACGAAATCATCTTCACAGGCTGTACAGCCGTATTTACATTTTTTAAAAAGAATGAATACTGAACAAAGAGTACTCTTTTCGATAACTTCATCATCAGGCTCTACAGTTATATATACATTATAGTGAATGAATGAAACATTAATGTTGTTCAAATAACATCAACATAACAATAAACTGGATGTCAGAAAAATTAGGAAAGATAATATTACAAATTCATGAATTTACAGTCTCTACTGAAGGCTGGCCAGGGCAGTAGTAGGGGCTAGCTGGACTTGCTTCTTTTGAACACAAAGCACTGGTTGTTTGAGGCGAATTGCAATAGCCTCTGCTGTTTGGAGCATGCGGTGCTTCGATGATTTTGGTAATTTATTAAGCACCCGGTAGATTATAGAGAAGGATTCTTCGAAGCTAGCTGGCTTTGTGACCAGTTTGCACCAGATGGTCCAATATAGAACTGTTAATGGTTTTCACTACACCTTTACTTATCCATACTGGGAGATATTCTCCAACGAGCACGAAAAATCAATTCCTAGAGCAACGGCCAGTATAACTCACTCCACAAGCGCGATTGAATTGGTAGATACAAGTTGAAGTGGCTAGTCTAGGTACTTCATCTTTCAGTCGAGGTAGTACCATCGGTCGTGTAGAGAATAAGACGTATAGTTTGCCAGCATTAAAAGTTCTTTGAACTGATTTTCTTAATTTCCTCGTAATTACCTCACTTGGTATTTCGCCCTTGAATTGTAGTCGTATATAAAGTGATTTACGGATAGTGAGTAGTCCTTTTCCGCTTTCTTTGTCATATGTTTCTTGATGAATTTTTCCGGATAGCTATTTTCGATCAAAGTATCATAAACAATGCTTAATTCATCTTCAAATACTTCTTCTGAGCATATAGCTCTAACTAACTCTAAGGCTGAGGGTTTTCACTAAATTTCTTTTGTACTTGAGAGGAACGAAGTTCTGAAAATGTGTATATTGTCCTGTCCAAGTACTTTTTCTATGCAAATTTCTTTTTATGCTACTATCTGGTAAGTAGGACATCCAGGAAGGCAATTCTGTCTTGGGATTCCTCTTCGCATGTGAATTTCATAGCCGAATGTACTTCATTGAATTCCGTAATTATTGTACTCCTATCCGAATTATTATCACAAAGAATGAAGGTGTCATCCATATATCAGCAATAAAATGAGAACGCTTACTGATAAGGTTGTTCAAAGATCCATATTTTCTAGTTTACTTAGAAAGAAGTCAGCCAGAATGGGACCCAATGGGGAGCCTATTGCCACTTCGTCCACTTGCCTGTAAAGCGTGCCGTCAAATTTGAAGTTTACATTCAGTGTACATCTTAATAACAATTCTTTTAGGATTTCAGTACGGATGCCAATGTTTATCGACTGGTTATCCACTGGTTCACATATGTAGTTACATTTACTAAAAAATGCATAGTATTCTATTATTGAGTAATAGGGGGTATCGTATTATTATCATAATAGTTCCCTTGGGTTCCTAGTGGAACATAGGGCTTCAGCTGCACGCCTCGACTTGTTTCTGCTGTACTTTTCATCTGCATCCATGTTAGTCCATACTGCTTCAGCTCCTCTTCATACGATCTCCTCCATGTCACCCTTGGACGTCCCACTCGCCGCTTCCCTTTCGGGTTCCACTCGAGGGCCTGACGAGCGATATCACCCAGCGGTCTCCTCAGCGAGTGTCCAATCCATCTCCACTTTCTCCTGCATATTTCTTGAGCGATTGGTTCTTGTTTTGTTTCTTCCCATAGTTTCTTGTTGGTGATTCTTTCCGGCCATCTGATCTTCAGTATAGGACGGAGACAGTTGTTGATAAAGGTCTGCAACAGGCTGTTGGAAATATTCTTTGTGACCCGCCAAGTTTCTGATCCGTATAGAAGAACTGACTGACTTGACGTTTGTATTGAAAATCCGAATTTTGTTGTTGATGCTTCCCGGATAGAGACTTGGTTATCTGATATAGTGTCCTTAGGCCCCTTCTGCCTGCTGCCTTCTCAGCTTCAGTGGCCAGGTTGTCGTAGAATTGTCTTTTGTCCTTTCTGGCACTCTTCTTCACTTCTTTGTCAAGTGCTGTGTAAGTTGAGCTCAGCGTCTTTCTCTTGTCCATCTTTGCATTGAATCATTTTCTCTCACCATTCTTCTCTCCTCTATTAGCTTCCAAGTGTCCGTTGAGAGCCATTCCTTGTCTAATCTCTTCTTTCTTCCTAAAACCGTTGAACACGTTTCGCTAAAAATCACCTTCAGAGAGTTTCAATGGTCCTCCACGCATGATTCCTCAGTGATGCCCCGTAGTGTTTCCTGCTTTGCTCTGACAGTTGTAGTGAAAGTGTCCTTCAGTTTTTGAGTGTTGAACTTGCATTGTGGCCTATCCCCAGCTAGGGGGGGGGGGTGTCGTAATTGATATAAATACTCAGAAGTGGCTTTAGAAGTAAAAATAAAAGTTGTAAACTACGTAGTACTCAACAACGACACAAAGGAAGAAAAAAGGGTAAGAAATTTGAAAACGCTAAAATTGCTATTGAGTGAGAAGAAAGGTGGTAGTTGAGAGTCCACTTAACAAGTGTGAAAAGGGTGTGAAAATGTAGAAAAAGGAACATATGAGAGTGATAATAGTGAATCAATTATTCAAGGAAAAGCAAATTACGAGTAAAAATTGAAAATTAAAAAATAAATTTTTCACAGGGAACGACTAGTGAAAAGGCTAAGGTGATGGTAGAATAAGAGAGTGGACAAACCTCCACTGCATACAGACTTCGCGGTTGTATTGACAAATCGCTAACGCCTCTACGCCACACACGAATAATGCCGAAATCTGACGCTCACGTTGTACCATTTGGCCTCACCTAGTAGATAATCTTGAAAGATGACTGTGGTGGAGCTACGTGGTTTGAGTTCACCAAGTGCTGCAGAATTGAGCTAGTAACTGTCTTGCATTTTTCCTTTTGCTAACTATGCCGGACAATGTTTAGAGATGCGTTTGGAAAGTGTGTGCTTTGTACGGCTAATGCGACTAGCTCCACACGAGCAAGTGAATCCACAAAAAAAAACACATTGAAATGGCCCAAAGCGGTAGGAAATAGTCGTTGATTGTTGACAGTAGTTACTGAAGATTACCATCACCAATAATTTAACAATTCGGTCGGTCGGTTTTCGACATAGAACTTTGCACATATGTGAGGCAGCTCAAGTCGCCACACTCCCTGCATGTAGCACACAAAGCCAGAAAAGAAGAAAGTAGGAGAAATGCATAATAGAGACAGTAAACAGAGGTGTGAGACAAAGGAATAGTAATAACGAAGAACAAAACAGTTTAATTGGAAATCATAAGTCACAAGGAGTGGATGCATCTGCGCCAGCCATTGAGAACGATTTTGAGCCATGTCACCAATTGTTTCCAACCATTGGTTTTTACCGTCCCGGGGACCCCAACCAGTCAGGAAGTCTACACCTTCCTACGTGGCTTAGACTAACTATTGTGGATTTCATTGACTGGTGTCATGTTTTCGTTTGACCGCCGCTAACTCATTTCGGCCTGGCCCTACATCAGCTAACATTGCCCATTGTCGAGGAAGGCGATGACTAGGCATGCGTAACGCATGTCTCAACCATCTCAGTCGATGTAATTTCACAGTCTCATCGATTGATTTCCCCGCCTTACCTAGCACTCGACGCCTAACCTTAGTATTGCTCACCTTATTATACCACTTCACACGGGAGATAGAACACAGACACCTATGATCGAACACAGATAATCTTTTCATGTCTTCCGCTCTCAGTAGCCAGGTCTCGCAGCCATAAGGGAGGACGGAGCGGACTGTTGAGCAGTACACACGCCCTTTGGTCGATAGTCGGATATCACGTATACGCCAGAGACGGCGTAAACTGGCATATGCGAAACTAGCCCTATGTATTCGTGCTGAGATTTCGTCGGAGATCAACCCGTTGGGGCTGATGATGCTTCCCAAGTAAGTGAAGCGGTCAACAATTCACGCATCAGAAATATTGTACGAAATCGATCAGCATCGCTTTTTCTCCAATCAAATGCCTATCGATATCTGCCTAATGTCTAGATGACAGAACATGCATCCCTGGAATCCTGTGGAGTGTGTTGTTCAACCTCGTCGATATATTACTAATGTAACTCGAAAAAAGTTGAATGAAATCGAGTAACATATCAGAAAAAAAACTAACAACAGTTACTAAAAAAATAATCTAACGATAGTAAATGCTATAAGTGAAAGTACATTATACGTTTCAAGAAAAATTAACACGAACCACCATTTCAGTGAACCACTCACCCAACGCTGTTCTGTAACCCCTACTATTCGATAGTCATTTGAAATATTCCTTGATTTTCTAACAGATGACCGAAGTAAACGGGGCGTAGGAGTATCAGAATTTGAAGAGACATCAGAATGTCTGCAGAGAGAAAAAGAAAAGAAAAGGAAGGGTACTTTACTGAGGCTTAACTTTGATAGTCCTAATTCTTTTGAATTTATAAGTGAGGGTGAGGTAAACTGACATCTAATGGTGCTCTAACTGATGTCAACTCTTGATGATGAAATCCTCCAGCAAATCAAACAAAATTCCCTACAAAACCAATACTTGAATATTAACCTGATGCTCACTGGCGACTGGCCCTATTCAGGTAGTGACTTGGGCTTCTAGTGGGAAGTAGTGACCAGTAGGATGCAGCAGCTTGAAGGCCAGGCAGTAGCTCATCGAAGAAGACATTGCAAAGTGGTCTTGTTGTGTCATGAATTGGCAGAAGTTAGAATTCATGGGCTGGCCATTGGATCGGGTTCCAGTGAGTGGCTTAATGGTCTACGAGCTAGCTTTCCTGGTAACCAGCAGGTCCTGGGTCAGAACCCCGCGTTGTGGGTGCGTTCTGATCAAGAGTCCCAAAATAGGAAAATGGCAACAACTGTCTAGTACTCCCAGGTTTTCCAATGGTTCTCTGACTGATGTCAGCTCATAATGAAATCCTCCAAAGAGGGAAATAATATCGTCGGATTTCAATAAAAATAACCCTATAAATCGTTACTACGTGCGGCGGTGGCACAGTGGTAGATTGACTGCTTGCCAACCACCCCTTATGTGGTCCGGAGTTTGATTGCCGCTCGGCCGACGTACTCCTTTACCTCGCTAAGCCAGTAGTAATAAGACTGGTAGAGAGGGAAGGTTGGGCATGAGGCTAGCAACCCCATCCACCGGTAAAAATAATCGCCACTCCTACAGTAACTTCAAGGCTCTAGCTTGAAGCCCTCTATATTTCACTGGGAACCTAAAGGAATTCTGCTGAGAATCATCAAGTCGGATATTCCTTGAAGCACAGTTAAAGCAGTCGTCTGATAGTCGTTGTTTTTTATAACTCTCTAATCTAGTAGATCTTTTACAAAGTATAACAACAAACTAATGTTCTCATAATGATCATAACTTTCTCTAAGTAATTTAAAGTCACATTAAAATTGATTAAACTGACCGCATAATATGATACAAACCAGTCCATTATGGATAAAATTTTATTTTGATAAAGTCACACACACAGTGTTTGTTATACAGTAATATTTACGGATGACCACGTTTGGAGCACAAATTTACCTTTGCTAGACATCATATAATATCCCGGCATGACTCACACAACTTTCCAACTTGCTTTATATAATTCCATCACTATTTTTCATCGCTTGATTTGATTGATAGTAGTATTTTCCGTATTTCCGGAATGAGTGATGAGTCATTCCTATTGCACATGTTGGGTGTAGCCTCGATGAACAAGGATTCAGTAATCAATCTATCTCGCTTTCCACATACCTATATTACTTCCTAGAATTTTATCCCTCTCCACTCTATTGTGTGGTTGTGTTAATGCATGCAGTGGAATTGCTGAGCTCTTCTCTAAATTACTTATTATTACTAAGTGATTTCAGAGTCATAGCTCAGTAATCTAAGCCGCCTGATCTACCTATCGTAAAATATATTTAACTGTTAGAAGGCTAGTGTGGCTCCCAATTCCTCTATAGGGCAATTGATTTTTATTACAAGGATGAGACTTGGGCACTGTGGTGGAGGAGTATAACTGCATTATGGATAAAATTTTATTCTGATAAAATCACACAGTGGTGTTATACAGTAAGTAATATTTACTGATGACCACACGTTTCGGGCACAATTTATTACTGCTCATAATCATATTAAGGCACTACAGACACAACTTTCTTGCTTCAAATCCCAAGTCAAAATATATACACAAACAGGTGTAGCAATGGGGTGGATAACCAATATCTTTATGGACAGATAGGAAAATATTGCTCTTAATACGTTTAATCCTACTCCAAGAATATAGTGGAGATATGTGGATGACACTTTCACTCACAGTGTTAAAAACAGAACATATCTCTCTCTAGCTTCTCCACACACATATATATAAACTCACTAGTAAAGGGAATAAAATTCACATTTGAATCGGAAAATGAACAAGCAGAATTAGCTATCATGTTAGATTGTAGAATTAAACGAACAGAGGAAGGTAAACTGCACACTAGCGTTTATAAAAAAGCCAACGCATTCTAATATTGGATATTTAGACTTTAATTCATCTCATCCGTTATCTGTCTGTGAAGGCAGGCTCAGTTAAGTGTCTAAAAAACCGGGCAATAGCACTTAGTAATACAACAACAAAAAACTTAAACGATGAAATGAAACAGATAGAAGAGGCGTTGGTGTTAAACAGCTAACTATCCTATAAAAATCCATTAGGAGTATCAAAAAGGTCAAAAGCAAGATAAAAATAATGACGAAACTAATATTGATAACACAAATAAGAAAGAATACAATACATATACACTTCTACCATATAACGAGAGGACATCGAATACCCTACGTAGGATTCTCCATAAAGCAGGAATTAGGGTGGCATACAAACCTTCAAAATCATTCGGAGACAAGCTCTGTAGGTCAAAGGACCCGGTGGATCCAATTTTAAAAAAATATAATTTACTAAATACCTTGTGATAACTGTGAGTGAGGTCAACTATATAAGTCGAACTAGTAGATCGGGGGTAGTGAGATTATCAGAAAATAAGAATTTAGCTAAGGTTAGAATGATTGACCCAACCTACGAAGATAAATAATCTAGAAAAAAGCCCAGCAGTTGCACTGCATGCATTAACACACAACCATAGAATAGGGTGGGTGGGACAGAGTCAAAATTCTAAAAAGTAAACTATGTACGTGGAGAGACAGAGACTGATTACGGAATCCTAGTTTATCGAGTCTACACCTAACACATGCAACAGAAGTGACTCAATGCAGATACCAGAGATATGGAAGATAGTATTACCACCAGTCAGTCAAATCAGAGGATAATGAATAATGTTAAAAAGTATTCAATTAACACATCATAACATTCTAACAAGTTACTTATTTTTACTATGAAAACATCTTATTTCCCATCTTATTGTATTTTATTATATATATAATTTCCGAATGTACTTTATCTTATATTGATTTTATTCAAATGCCTAACCATCAACTTTTACTCATGTATATAAATGAAGCAAGAAAGTTGTGTGAGTAGTGAGTTGATATGACTATGAGTAACAATAGATTGTTCTCGAAACGTCGTCATCAGTAAATATTACTGTATAACACCACTGCGTGATTTTATCAGAATAAAATTCTATCGATAATGAAGTTATACTTTACCACCACAGTACCCAAGTTTCATGAGGTGGGTTACTGTCCCCTTTTGATTGTCTCAAACAATACCCACCTCATGTTACCTTCAACTGTGTCTACCAATTTACATGTACGTGCCAAAGCACATACATTGGAAGAACACAGAGAAGGGTATTGTCCGCATTTCTGAACACATACCAAACAACCTGAGAATGAAAGGTCCGCAAGCATTAAACAGTGCGATTGCACATCAT